TCAAAACTTCTTATGTTAAAAGAATTGGATAAGATCGATTGAAAAATTCAAGAATCGGTCCAATATGCAAACGGATTGAAGTTTTGAATCTCATTAAAATGATTTGAAAATTGATGGGCTAACCATTCGATTTACTTTAATAATAGTCATTTCAAACCTTTTAACTTTTGAACATTCACTAGTTTTGGAATTAATGCTGAAATTGAATTTTGAAATATTGAAAATTTCATGACGAGTTGTGAGCTTCTCTTCTAACTTGTGAATTCGAAATGTAACTTCAGTTCTAATTGTTATAATCAACAGTGGCTTAGTTGATCTTTCAATTGAGACTCTGCTACATGTGCATGATTGGAAAGAATAACGCTATTTGCAATCGTTCACTACTATAGTCGTCCTATGTGACAACGATTAGTGATTTGATACATAAAACAATAAAAAAAACTACTACATTAATGCATTAAATTACTAACTGCCATATATGTATCACGTAGGGCGACTAAACAGTAAGCGATTATAAATAACATTATTCTTTTTAATTGCTTATAAACTTTGGATTTTATGTTGTGTGGATCCCTCACTTTGTGGACTTATAAGAACTTCCATAAGCTACTTCCAAACATGCTCTAGTAATAAGATTATATGAAATATGTGGCTAAAATGTATTACTAGCTTAAAAAAGGCTTTGCCAAACATGAACTTACAAAATTAATTAAAAGTACACATCTTTCTCTATTTTTTGAATTAACAATAGTTGTCGTGTATTTTTAAAGAATAATACTATCTAGTACGTAATGTTAAAACACCGATCCATATGACATTATATGGCATGTTTAATTAAATGTGAAATTATGTAGGTCATTTAATTGAATTTGTCATTTAATGACATTAGTGCTGTCACTTAAATTGATACCCACTCCGTCCCAATTGTATGAGTAATGCTACTTGTAGTCGCTCACTGCAGCAGTCGTCCTATGTGGCACACACATGACATGTAGTTATTTGATGCATTAATGCAGCAGTCGTCCACGTGACATGTGTGTGTTACATAGGGCGACTGCAAGTAGCATTATTCCAATTATATAGGCTGCGTTTCCTTTTTCTTTTGTCCCAAATATATAGGCTCGTTTCCTAATGTAGAATATTTTATTGTGTTCATTTACCAATATACCCTTATTAAATTTTCTTCACTTAATATGTCAACTTCTTGAAATCATCCAAGTACACATTTCCCACATCTGGAAACATGGAACAACTCTCATTTCTTCTTCTTCTTCAATTTCTTTAT